AACTATGAATTTGCAAAACACCTCACAGCATGGATGAACCTGGAGGGCATTATATGCTGAGTGAAATTAGTCCATCACAAAAGAAAATATATTGTTGAGACCAATGTTGTAAAAAGTTAAAAAGTTTTCTTAATAAAAGAAACAATCTATGATGGTTATGGGGTGGGGCGGGGAAGGAAAATTATTTCTAGGTTAAAGGCTATATGCAACAAGAGGAAGGTTAGCAGAGGAAACATGAAAGTAGCCGGAGATAGAAGAATATAACAGTTAAAGTGAACAGAGGCAAATAGTTAATTATATGGAGGAGATTACAATTGTAATGAATCAAAGTGTATGATTTGGTGAATGTAAAACTCACAATCTGCTTTGCAAACCTTTACTAAGTTCACAATAAAAGGTTAAAAAAAATAAGATGGGAAGATTTTTTGTCACTCGTACTTTGAACATGTCAGAAGGGGTCAGTCCCTGGAGAAAGATTTTAAGCTTGGTGAAATGGAAAGTCAGCAAAAAATAGGAAGACCGCCAATGAGATGAACTGACTGTGACAGCAACAATGGGCTCAACAAACACAAAAACTGTGAGGAGGTGCCGCGCTGGGCAGGGCTTCTGGGCAGGGCTTCGTCCTGGTTTGCATAGGGTTGCTGTGAGTCAGGCACTCCACAGCGCCTCACAGCAGTTTTCTGAGAACTGCTCACGTCTCTATTTACAACCAGCATCCACGGTAAATGCTTAAAGTTGAACATCATTTACAACCATCATCCATGGTAAATGCTAAAAGTTGCTTAAAGTTGAACATCATTGTTTAACACTCTGCTGTAGATTTACAAATATAAGCCTATTTTTAAGCTACAGGTAAAATCCAACAGGTTTCAGTTCACACACATTCCACTGGAGCGCATGGAAGCAGCAGTTCTCAAAGTGTGGCCGAGAGAGGCCCGGGGATCTCTGACTCAGAGATCTGTGAGATGGAAACTTCTCAGAATACAAAGCCACTGCCGGCCTTTTCCACTCTCCTGAGTGCACAGTGGCATCTTCTATAGGCTATATGACAAGTGACATCTCCCTTACTGATCCTCACAGGATGTGTACCTGGGTACTCTATCCATTTCTCAGCTCTGATTCTTTACATTGTTGTTGTTGTTAAGTGCTATCAAATTGGTTCTGACTCATGGTGACAATGAATAGGGTTTCTGAGGAGCAGCTGGTGAGTTTGAATTACCAATCTTACGATTCACACCAACCATGAGATTGAGTGCTTATCCTAAGGCGCCACACCAGGACTCCTTTACATAGGAGTGGGTTAATGTGCTGGACTGCAAAATCAGCTTGTACCACAAAGTTGAAGTCAGCCGCTTCTTGGAAACCCTATACAGGGTTGCTATGAGTCAGAACCGACTCCATGGCACTTAACAACAATATCAATGAACATAACCACATACACAGCATTCTTTGTGGTTCACCACTTCTAAGCGTACACAAGTTTGAGAACTGCTACACTAAAAACAAGCAGTTAAAGTGAAAGCGTTAAGACATGATGGGTTTTTTGCTTATTCATTTCTTTACTCAACTAGTATTCCGGAACAGAATGGATGAATGCCACCTAACATCTTGGACTATTGAATCCTATAATAATCACAAGCTCAAACGAAACAATGAACAATTTCAAAGTGACTAAAACAGAGTGAATTTTGTGTCCATGGAGAGGACAATCTGAGTTCACTAGTGTTTGGTTTATATGATCAAGGACCAACAATCAACAAAAATGATGCCCAGACCCTGAATGAATGTTGAGTAAGTAACTGCCTGCTCCTGGATCTGCAGAACACCTCAGTGTATCCAGCTTCCCCCTTCCATACCCCTTTCCAGCTCTGTGCTAAAGAGTAACTATGAGTCTTCCTCTCAGTGCTGCAAAAATTCAGTTGAAATAAGACGGCTTCCCTTTCTTAAAGAGGAAGAGATCGGCTGATTTCTATTATTAATTCACCAACCGTAAAGAGTAAAAATTTCAAAGTTACTAGTTACTATTCTTAATCACTGCACACCAGAGAACCACTGCCCTGCTTAAAGGAATATGCACATCCAAACCAAAACCAAACCCGTTACTGTCACGTGGATACCAACTTAAAGGGACCCTTCAGGTACACAGTAGAACTGTGCCACAATGCTTCCATGGTTATTTTTTTCATCTTCTTTTGTTGAAGGAAATAGAAACATGTGCTACCGAGGCAGTAGTGCCTCACAGCATGACAAGGTAACCCATGGGGCTGAAGTGACAAGTCCGATTGTTCTGGCCAGAGATACTACCACAATGCGAGGACCCAAACCACAAAGACAGCAGGAGGTAGCAAACATCCACAACATCCAGTGCAAGCATTTCCATTTGCAGAGCTTGGCCATTCACCTTACAAACAGGGTCCCCTCACAGCTGGCAGATCATCTTAGACCTTGGCCAAAATCATCCAAATGCTATCTCAGATCTACAGATGCTTCCGCCTTTGATCCAAAGAGTCAGCTTCTCATCCCCGAGGAAAAAGACGCTGAGTTCTCAAAACTTCATACAGGTATAGCTGGACAGGTGCTGATGCAAGGCTGTAATCCTTACAGAAGCAGACTGCCTCACCCTTTCCCAGGGACCCTGCAATTCACAGCTGAGCTTTTAACCAGTGTGCCACCAGGGCTCCCAAATATGCATATAAGTATAAAATAAGTCTGTCTCACTTAATAATTTTCTTATTCCATAAAACATGATTTAGCCTGATTTATAACATCAAAGAAATCTAACAAAAATATCTTGTTATTGTTAAGTGCCATGGAGTTGGTACTGACTCACAGTGACCTTGTTTGTATAGGGTTTCCAAGGGCAGCTGGTGGATTTGAACCACTGTCCAGTGCTGATCCTCCAGCACTACCCCAAGACATCAATAGTGGCACATACTCACCAGGACGGCTAATGCCATAATTATCAGCACGGGAACGTGCAGTAGCACCGGAATCTCCTTCATGATTGCTCTGATAAATTCTCCAGCTCCCTTTCCAATGTGCTTCAATGGCTCCGTTACAAAGTTGGTGAATGTGACTGCCAGTGCCTAGAACAAAAGATGGAAGCAACTGAATTTTTTCCTCAAAGGCCTGTGACATCTAGAATGAGCCAGAACTCACTGTTCCTAAGGCTGAAATTATGTTAAATAAATTAAAAGGCTGTCATATATGCCAGTTGTAATGTGAAAAAAAATCACTCCGTAATTAAAACATTTTTTATTGAAAAAAGGTATAATTCTTACTCTAAAAAACACAATTTTTTAAAATAAATACATGTTTTAAACTTTAATCTATATAAGTAATTTTTGCAAAATGTATTCTATACCTTTGTTGGTGGGACCAACCAAATTGGGTTGACTACTACAAGCTCATAGTACTTTTGGCACGAGTCATCTTGAAAGGTCCATGTGCTTTTAAACCATTCTAGTTAGAGAAACAAACACACAAAACATTAAGTAATTTTTTAAAGTTGCATTTCATTCCCAAATAAGATGATATTTTGGTTTTGTCCCTCTTCCCCATCTACCAACCAATTTTAAGTATGCTGATTTTTAAATGCTATTTTATGTACCAAATCATACATTTATTTTAAAAATCTATTCAAATTGTACAAGTCTTATACAGATAAAAGTGTTTTCTGAAGATTGCTAAAAGGTAGCTAAGTAATTAAAAGCAGTCTTTACATACATAAATGAGTATGCGTTTAACTGGGAGAATGTGAATAAGAATGGTAGGCTGTATCAGAGTCACTGTCCTGGTTGTGATACTGTATTAGTATGGGTGTACAAAACATTACTATTGGGAGAAACTGGGGAAAAGGTTATGTGGGAATCTCAGTATTATTGCTTACAACCACCTGTGAATATACAGTTACATCAATAAATTTCAACCCCCAAAAGAACAATTTTTAATTGATTTCACAGAAGAAAGAACAGGACTTAGCTCAGCTGATTTTTCTAGATTCAATTTATCTACTTTTGGACACCAGCCTGATGTTGAGAAGATCCTTCACAGTTCCCTGAAGCCACGTTTCCCATGACTGTTTTTAAGAAACACTGATTTTGAGTGCCCTGATTAGTAGAATCTGCTGAGACTTTACTGGCACCGGTACTAAGGATCTGCATTTATGAAGACCTTTGAATGGTTCACCATTCGCGCTGTTATGTGGTGGTGGTGTGCCATGGAGTCAGTTCTGACTCATAGCTACCCTGTATTGGGTTTCCAAGGCCGTAAATCTTTATGGGACCATAAAGCCTCATCTTTCTTCCATGGAACAACTGGAAGTTTTGAACTGCTGACCTTGAGGCTAGCAGCCTGACTCATAATCACTATGCTACCAGAGCTCCTTACATATACACAACTAAAGGCAGTCAACATACCTACCCACTGCCATCAACGCGGTTTCGACTCATAGCATCCCCGCAGCACAGAGTAGAACGAGCTGCTCTTAAGGTTTCTAGGGTTGTAAATCTAGGAAACTTCAGGAAGACAGTCTCATCTTTCTCCCGGAGAGCGGCTGACCTTGCAGTTAACCCAACACTTAACCTACTATGCCACCAAGGACTTTTATAAACATTAGTAACTTTATAAAATCCATAAGAAAAAACAAGTAAAATAATTTTGCACTTAATTTTAAAAAAAGATTAAATAGATTTAAATGAAAGATTTCATAATACAAAGAGATTTAAATCTAAAATGACTACTAATTCGTATTATAAATGCAAACTTGTGTTGAGGACCTAGAATGTACAGCATTGTGCAAGGACCTACGTGAACCAAAGAGAGCACCTGACCCTTTACAGTCTAGTAGGGGGACAGACAGCATCAGACAGCATACATGTGCATTCTAGTTCTTCTCTGACTTGACATGAAGATAAGTCACTAGTCTTAAACCTAAGATTCTTCTTGCACAATCTTTGTGTATGTGTGTATGTGTATAACTATGCGGTCATTTATGAGGGGGCTTCAAAAAGTTTGTGGAAAAATTCCATTATCTATCTCTTACGTCTTGGTGTGGCACTGTATAGTATAAGTGCTCAAGTACCAGATCGGTTTGAACTGCAAGGTCGGCTGTTCAAACTCACCAGCCACTCCTCGGAAACCCCATACAGGGTCGCTATGGGTTGGAACAGACTCGATGGCACTTAGTAACAACAACAACATCTCTAAATTACAATATTACAGTTTCCATGTGTATTCCTCAGTGACAAAGATTACATTCTTCAAGTTGTGCAAACATTCTTAACATGTTTTACCAAATTTTTCCACCTCCATTGGGGTTATGAGTTGGGCTGCTAACTTCAAGGTCAGCAGTTTGAAACTACCAGCGGTTCCACAGGAGAAAGATGAAGCTTTCTGCTACTGTAAAGACTTACAGCCTCAGAAACCCTATACAGGGTTGCTATGGGTCGGAACCAACTCGACAGCACTTAACAACAGTTGACATAAACTCACTGTCCCCTAAGGTTCTCATCTACTTCTTCTAGTTGCCGCTGTTAATTTTATTTCACATAGATTAATTCTTTAAAAGAACACAATATTCAAGGCAGACATACTTTAGTTATTAAAACTATTGTTTCAAAGAAGACTTCAAGGGACAGTTTTGGATTCAAGTTTATAAAGATTCTCTCAAGGCAATAGTTTCAGGGGTTCATGAGTCTCAACAGCCTCAGGAAATCTGACGTCCAGTGAAATTTTGAAATTCTGTTCTGCATTCTTCACCTTTTGAACAGGATTCTTCTAGAGAATGCTGAATCAAAACCATCAGTAATTTTGCATACTCTTTTGGTATTCAAATTCAACCATGCAAAGACTCCTGGGATTTTATCAATTTCTTTATAATTACTATTATTTTCTCTAATTCCCAGAAATTCTATTCAAAATAAGGGCCAAGAAAGCAAACACCTTACCCCAAATACTTCCACTCCAGTCCATTTTCTCAGCACACACATTGCTGAACGGCTCCATCTTGGCAACTTCGGCCTGATGCTGTGCAAATGCTAGCTGACCAACATCAAAGGGGACCGTGAATGACTGCTAACACCTGATATCCAAACAACTCTAGCTGAAGCCTGCCTTTTACATTCACCCAATAGGAAAAAACAAAAAACAATTCTATATTATTTCTAAAGAGTAGCTCTTTTCAGCTCATGGCAAATCAGAATAAGGAAGGATAAAGAACAAACTATAATGGTCTTCTTTGTGGTCATTACGATGAGGAAGCAAACCTTCTTATTGAAAAGACTGTTCTAAAAAACATGCCCCAAATCCAGTCATATGTATTAAATAACAAATTTTTTATAGTTCATGATAAAACAATATTCCACTCTGGGTGGTTTTCCACTCCAAATGACTAATAAAAAGATAATCTATCACTTTCAGAAATCAGAGTTTGAGTGGAAAAGTACTGCAGTAATAATAGTCAAATCAACTCCTACTACAAAGAAAACTAGGTGATAAATCCATGAATGATCACTTCTATGAACTTACAGCCTATGGCAAAAGATTAAGGAAATAAGAGATTTTAAACCAGGTAAGATATATGGCTACCTGACTCACTCTTCTAAAAACAGTTCCATCTTGCTGCAATTGTTGTTACTGGTAAGTGCCACCGAGTCAGTTCCTATTCATAGTAATCCTGTATAGGGATTTCCAAGGAATGGCTGGTGGATTTGAACTACTGACCTTGCAGCTCAAACTGACCTTGCCATCCAGTGCATTATCCTGCAGCACCATATCAAGACTCTTGCTGTAATAAAGATTGTTATTCTGACAGGAACAATAGTGGTTCCTTCAAATTTGTGTATACTCTTGTCATTAGCTACCATGGAGTCCGCCCCAATGTATGGCAAGCTCATGCACAACAATCCAGATGTGGTCCCTAGGGTGGCTGATTTTAGGAAGTAGATCACCAAGCTTTTCTTCCTAGAGGTGCACTGGCCAGGAATCAGACTCAGTCTCCTGCGAGATTGCAGTAACATCTCAAATTTGGACGGATAATTGTAATTTAGAAAAAAAGACTGAACCTCAAAATATTGACAGTGACTGTCTCTAGGTGATAAATTATGGGTGATATTTAAAAGCTAATTTCTTTGTACCTTTCTGCCTTTTCATGGTTCCACCCTTTTGCAGTCACAAACACAATCAGAATTTTGAAAATGTTTTGATACCATTTTTAGTGAAGAATAAAAGGACATACTCCCAAAATTATCAACATAAGCACTTTTCAAAATGTGTCTGTCTAGCTCTATTCTGAGCCAGCTGTCCAGATGTCATCCAGCAAGAGCCACGCTATAGAAATTAGAACTGTACCTCTTTCCCACTAACTGGTCAAGCGCCCAACCAACCACAAACAGGCAAGCAGCTTCTAATTCCCTTCCCCCTGCCTCCCGCCCTCCAACTTCCAACAATCACTACCCCCAACCCATACCTGGGTCAGAGTGTTCTGAATAGAACCAAGTTTTATTATGAATAAGATTTTCAAATTTTAAAACTTTCTACCTGTTAAATACCTTGTATAAATATATCCAATTCCATCCCAAACTGATGAGAAAACTGATGAATAAAACACGTCTCAACTGAGTGTACCAACCAACATACGTCCACAGCTCGGTTGCCACTAATACCACAATGCAGAGCAGGCACAGCAGCACCTAGAAGAGAAGAGCAGCAGCAGTCAGCCACTGCCAAGCCATCCTCCCGCCAGAAAACACCATCGGCCAGTAAAGACGAAGGAGCTGGCCTCAAACTCACAAAGTCATATGCTCAATTCTATTGTGTGTTCATCAATGCAGTATGATCTGTGTAACATTTTCAAAATTCTGATTGTGTTATGGGGGAGTTTGTAAAAGGATTCAAAAAACGCAATCAAGTCCTCATCCCATCTTACCATGAACACACTATATGGATCCACTCCAAAGGAATCTTCAAATCGCCACTTCCATGTTTCAAAATCATGAAACTTAAAATTAATTAAAATATCACTTAGTGCATCATCCAAGGCTCCAGACTTCCAGTCCTCTCCACTGAGAAACTTCTGTATTTCTAACAAGGTCTGCCTTTTCAGGATAATCTCAGCATCATAATGCCTATCATCATTGTTCTCATCAGGCTGAATCACGTTTATCAAGAACAAGCGAGAGAAAAAGAGAATTACTACTCAGTGAAACAGTTCTAGATGAAAAGTCTTTTGGAACTTAACATAGGATGAAATAAAAGTATGCCCACCCCTCATTTATCAACATGGTTATGTTCCTAAGACCAGGTCGTTATGTAAAAACGAGGGATAACCACATCAGATCTCCAAAGAGGAAGGCTACCTCATTACATAACTGCCAAACCCCTGAGAATCACAGCTCAGTCAACTTGACACATGACATTGACCATCATAGCCAGAGTTATACCTGCCTTACACCATGGTGCTTGGTACTGGCAGATGTTGTGTCCTCATGCATACAACAGTCAGAGTTGTTCTCCATTCTCATAAATGCCAATTGTCAGTTAATGAGATACCCAATAAGTACAATAGTGTAAGTTTGGCTAAATTTATTAAGATACTGTAAATTTGACTAAATTTATTGTTAAATTCATAATTTTCCCTTTGCTGACACTGTTTTCAAATAGCTTAATATCAAGAAAAATAAAAGGATTTAAAAAGCAACAAAATGTGGGCTTTCATGGATACGTATGATACTTAAACTATTTTATTAATGTGACATGCGCTTAGCAAAATCACATTAAACATCATTTTACATTCATTAATCAGCTGATAGAAATGAGATTTTTCTTTTAATTTTGAGAGTAAATGCAGATATTTATATAAGACTATAAACATAAACTGAAAAATCAGAGAGATCATGAAACATCACAAATCATCAGCAAGCATAAACAGTAGTCCTTAAATTTTTTTATTTATTTTTTTAATCAGGAGCTAAATATTCCCAAGCAAACCTGTCTTCTCAGTAACTCCATGGCAATGACTTTTGGTTTATCCCCAATTTTTGGGCTTCAGATCTTTTCTCATCTATAAAATTGTCTTTTTCCTGCCTTGCACACAGAGTGCAAGGCTCAAAGTGCAGGATGTACCTTTGAGATGATCTATGCTTTTACACTTTCAACGTGCGGTTATTTTTAGGTACCATCGAGTTGTTTACCACTCAAAGTAACCCTGTACATAACAGAAGAAAACACCGTCTGTTCCTGCACCCGCCTCACAATTTCTTGAGCCCATTGTTGCCGCCACTGTGTCAATCCATCTCCTGGAGGGTCCCTCTCTGTTTCCTCAGCCTTCCACCTTACAAGCATGAAATCCTTTTCCAGAGACTGGTCCCTCTCCTGATAACATGTTCGAAGAGACAAAGTGTCATTATCCTCACTTTTTTGGGGGGAGAAGGGGATGGGACTTTTGACTGAGAATTGAATGAAGGTTTACAGAGCAGATCATCAGTTTACATTCAACCAATGTATTTTATGTCAATGATTGCATCCCATCTATGTAACAACACTTCATCCCTGTGCTTCTTATCTCCATTCCACCCCCCTTCCCATCCCTTCTCAACCCTGTCCTTAGGTAAATGAAATGGTTTTGGTCTTGAATGTCGACCATTCCATGGTGAGCATACCTTACTAGCATTGTTCTATCTTCTGCTTGGTTGAAAATTGGGCCACAAGGGTGAGTTCCCTTCCAGACCTGAAGGGAGGCTGAAGGCCATAGATTCCAGTTTGTCCAGTTTCTTTCTGACAGAAAGCCAGCCCCCCCACCCTTTATATATATATATAATTTTGAGTTTTGTTCCACATGTTCTCCCACTCTAATGTGATCCCTTTCAGAGCAGTTGGCAGTGGTAGCCAGGCACCACCTAGTTCTACTGGTCTCAGAGTCGTGGAGACTGATGTTCACATGTTCCATTGGTCCACTGGACTAGCTGAGTCCAAGCAGCTTCCATTCTAATCACTCTTCTTTCTTCCGTACATGGAGAGACCAATAGTTGCACTTTAGATGGCCGCTCATGAGTCTTTATGATCTCAATTGCTATTCACCAAAGTAACTATCCTCACTTGCAAGGAGCATTCTGGCTGTATTTCTTCCAAGACAGAATTGATGACTCTTCTGGCAGACCATGATACTTTCAATATTCTTCACCAACATTTTATTTCAAATGCATAGATTCTTTCACATCTTCCTTATTCATCATTGTCCTACTTTCACATGCATATGAGGTGATTAAGAATATCATGGCTTGAGTCAGATGTACCTTAGTCCTCAAAGTGACATCTTTGCTCTTTAACACTTTAAAGAGTCTTGCAGCAGATTTGTCTAATGCAATACATGTCATTGATTTCTTGGCTGCTGCTTCTATGAGTGTTGATTGAGGATTCAAACAAAATGAAAAAGTTTTTGACAACTTCAGTCTTTTCTCCATTTATCATAATGCTATTTGTTATGAGAACTTTCGTTTTCTTTACACTGAGGTGCATTCCATATTGAAAGTTGTAGTCTTTGATCTTTATTACTAAGTATTTCAAGTCCTCTTTATTCCAGCAGGCAAGGCTGTGTCAACTGCATATCGCAGGTTCTTGATGAATTTTCCTGACGTAATCTGGTTCATACAATAGTTTCTCAGATAATTTATTCAACATACAGACTGAATATGTATGGTGAAAGGATACAACCCTGGTGCACCTTTCCTGATTTTGAACCATTTAGTAATCCCCCTTGTTCTGTTTGAATGACTGCCTCTTGGTCTATGTAAAGGTTCCACATGAGCACAAATAAAATGTTCTGGAATTACCTTCCTTCAAAATTTTGTCCATAGTTTATTATGATCCACACAGTTGAATGCCTTTGCATAGGCAATAAAATACATGGGAGTGCAATGGCTCTAGAGTATAAGCACTGGAGTGCGAATCACAAGGCTGGCAGTTCAATCCCACCAACTGCTCTGTGGGAGAAAGATGAAACTATCAGCTCCCACAAAGATTTACTATCTTAAAAACACTGTACAGGGTTGCTGTTAAGTCGGAACTGACTCAAAGGCACTTAACAACAAACATCTTTCTGGTATTCTCTGCCCTCAGTCAAGATCCATCTGACGAGAACAGTGATATCCCTAGTTCCACATCCTCTTCTGAATCCTGCTTGAATTTCTGGCAGATCCCTGTTGATGTACTGTTGCATCTGTTTGTTTTTTTTTGTCTTCAGCAAAATTTTATTGGCATGCAACATTAATGATATTGTCTGATGATTTCTGCATTCCATTGGGTCAACTCTCTTGGGAATGGGCACAAATACGGATCTTTCCCAATTAATTGGCCAGGTCGCTGTCTTCCAAATTTCTTGGCATAGCTGAGATCCAGCCCTGCAACACTTCTAGTGTGTTGTAGTTGCAAAGTGCCACAGAGTCAGTTCTGACTCACAGCAACTCTGTATAGTTTCCAACGAGCAGCTGGTGGGCTTGAACTGCCAACCTTTCAGTTAGCAATGTATTGCTTATCCTACAGAACCACACTACACCAGACTCTCACTTCCAACAGAGGTGGTGTTGATAAATTATCACCTAACCCCCACGTCTTCCCCCCTGGTCACTTCTCACAGAGACAGGCTGGGATGTCCTTTCATTTTCTGGTTCTGCCTGTGGCTGGGTCTAGCGCTTGGGGCTGGTAGTCAGACTGAAACACAAAGTCTGGCCTCTCGCTTACCAGGTCAATTCTGGTGGCACACACAATAAGAAAAATGCCTGTGTGCTTTTAAATGAGCTTGATAAACCATATAACCTACAAATTATGAAATTAAAAGTGTTCTTAATGGTTTGACTCCACAAAGTGAAAGCTGTGACTCAAAAAAAAAAAAAAAATGGGGATTTCCACATTGATTATGAACACTAGAAGTTGCCCTGGTGGCACAGTGGTTAAAGTGTTCTCTGCTAACTGAAAGGTCAGTGGTTTGGGCCTACCAGATGCTCTTCAGGAGAAAGATTTGTAACAATTTGCTTCTGTAAAGATTACAGTCCTAGAAAGCGTACTCACTGTGAGTTGGAATCCACTCAAGGGCAGTGGGTGGGTGTGGACAACATGTACACAATACACATGCGGTAAGAAGAAAAAAAAACCTACTTAAAACACATTTTTCTTTCCTCAATATACAATGACTTTATATGACTAAGAAATTGTAGAAAAGGTAGAAAACAAAAAGTGAGGGTCAGAATAGAATTTCTCTACCAAGTTATGGCTTGATTAAATTTTATACTGTTCAGTTAAGTTCAAAATAGCACTTTTAAAGCACGCCCTCAACTAAGCAGTATGCGGTGCACAGAGCTGAAGAATGAGAGACAACACTTGCTTTCCACCGACCACTGGAGGGCAGGCGATTCTCTCTAAACCTGCCTGAGTAGCTTTTGGTAAAGAGGTGATTCCCCTGCTCCTTTGACTAATGCTACAACATAAAATACTGCTTCATCTGATTGGAAGTGAATAAAAAGTGAAAGCATCCACCACACTAATTAACATCAGCACCAACAAATACTCACAAGTCCAAGCTTTCCAGCTTCAAGTAAAATCTTATTTAAGTATCTTCTAAACACAGGATTGCTCTGACTTTCATACTCTTGCCTCTTTTTCTTTTCACACTCATCAATCTGAAATCACAATAAGTTCATTATTACTGAGCATCAAAATTTAATATAAGTATCTAGTTGAGTCCTTCCAGCATCAAGGGAAGGAGCTCATGACTCCGATCACGCTTACATTTTACCAGCTACATTGTAACTCAGAGTCGGTCTGCTCCCTAGAGCCCTGGGTTCTTGATGCACAGAACAAGGGGGCAACAAAAGCAGAACGCATGTCCAGCAGCACTTAGCCCTGACCTGGCAGTTATTCTTTGGACTTCCTTTTCAGCAGTCTTAACAAGGACGAACAGGCGGTCTCAAGATCAGGAGGCAGCAGGCAGAACAAGTAGAGCAAATGATCTAATCTGCCTCTTCCAAATTCCAAAGTCATAATTTCAAGAAAGAATTGAAAAACCACATACACATGCATACCTATGTGTGCATATAAATACATGGACACACACATAGAATGAATCCAGAAGCTTAACGCCACAACAAAGAATGCCCTTACTATATACTACTACTATTGGCCTTGTATTAATTATGTCATCCTCTACCAGATGGGACATTTCAGGAAGGCAGAAGCCATGGCAACCCCTCAGTACATAATGTTCCTTACAATTTGCTTCTTCTGAACTTAGCTCTAGCCCTACCACAGCAGCCAAGTCACTGAGTGAGGGTAGTGGCCACTTTACAGACATCAAAACTTGCGATCATCAGCTTTGATTTTATAACAGTGGGTGAACAGGCTGAGCTAAACACAGAAATGGGCGTCCGTCCCTCAGTGTGACAGCGATTAGCAGCGCATGCAGACTCAAGATAGAGGTCACTCAAGAAGTCAGGTGGCAAGGGATAGACACTATCTTATTGTTTAAATCTTGAAGAAACACTTTTTACTTCTTTATTAAACTCAAGACTCCCTTTTATCAATTATCTTTTTACAACGTTTGAACCAAAGTAAAAAACAACAGAATGAAAAATTTCTGTCAAAAGTTACTTTCATTTTTTTTTCCTCCTTATTTTATTGTTGAGAAGATACACAGCAAAACACATCAGTTCACGTTTCTACATGTACAATTCCGTGACGCTGATTACATTCTTTGAGTTGTGCAACCATCCTTAGCCTCCTCTTCTGAACTCTTCCTCTCTCATCTACTTACCTGAGGTTCCTAGCTCATCTTTCAAGCTGTTGTCAATTTAATCACACATTTGTTGTCGATTCCGACCCATAGCGACCCTGTATAGGGTTTCCAAGGAGCAGCTGGTGAGCTTGAACCTCCGAACTTGCAGTTTAAACGACTTTGCAGTCTGATGCATTAACCCACAGCACCACAACAGTAATCCCACATAGCAAGATCGTAAAAGAGCTTATCATGCTCGAGACAGGCCTTTTTTACTAGTTAATTAATCTAAGCTACTGTTTGATTTTAAGAAAATTTCAGGGGATATTTTTGGTTTAAGGTTTAAGTGTTTGCATTTCTTTCTATACAACCAAACTACCTCTGTATACCATGAAACAACTTCAACTGTGACAAATTTCATCCATATCCTGGACAGCACTTGGTATGTATCCACACTTGATAAGAGCTACAAGCATTAACTGAGATCTAGCTGGATCACGATTAATCAAGTGTCTATTTCTCAAGCTGGACACTTCCTTTCATTCCCATTTAGCTCTTCCCTGCCCTGGTGCCTCCCTTTTCCTCACTATCAAAACCTACCTGTTCTATGTCACTGAAGTCTAATATGTTCCTCTTTTCTTCAACCCCTGCCTGCCATCACTGCATTTCTAGCCTGCAGCTTTGCTGGACCTCCCCCACCCCTGTGATCTCACTGCACTCTCGCTATTCCAGGTTGGCCTCCTGCCCTCTACTGCTGTTCACCTGCCTACTCAAACCACGGAAGGGTTTCTCCCAGCATAATGGGACAAGTTCAAACCCCTTTACCATCCCGATTTATTTCTATGGCATTTAACAACAACAACCCTACTTCAGCCACAAAATAAAAGGAGTGAATAAATGAAGGAATGCATCACTACCGTAAATGTCCTCATATTAGTAAGAGTAACTCTGAAGTTGACAAACTGCTAACAGGCCCCCTTCTTACTTTGCTACATCTGTTGTAAGTCTACTATGGCGCAGGGTTATGCCAGGGGACGGGATTACATAGGTGAACAAAAGACACTCCTTACCCAAGAAGCTTACAGTCTGATGAAGAATTACAACATAGGAGATAAATGTCATTACAAGAAAACACAACATACTACTAGAAAACCAAGGCTAAAGTAAATTAAGATAAAAATGATACATGCATAATTTTTAAATATATAGTAAAAGCACAAATGATGTTTGCAAAGACAAGAATGCAGAGGACAACTTAATATAAATATTATAACATAAAACTCACAAGTGGAAGAAAAAAAAAATCTAACCTTATGTGTTAAAGAATCAAGTCTGTGGTAGCATTCCAACATTTCATCAGCACATGACAAATCAGGATTGACATCCTTTTTCTCTGAGATGCCATAGTGCACCTAAAACAAAATAGCGACAAGGTTATAGTTTGGTTGTAAAAATAATTTCAGTTAATGAAGACTAAAATTTATGACTTAGCTCATTGCATTTTTCAACTATATTAAACCACCAGATCTTTCTGCCCAGCATAAAGCCTGGTGTGTATGAAATGAAACTCAAGTGTGAATTCCCTATACCTAAAGCCATATCGGAGTCCTGGTGATGTGCTGTAGGATAAACACAGGACTGTTAACTGCAAGGTCAGTGGCTCAAGCCCACCAGCTGCTTTTTGGAAACCCTATACAGGGTCACTATGAGTCAGAACCAACTCAATGGCATTTAACGACAACTAACAGCAGTATCATATTAGTACCCAAATTTGAAACAAAAATAACCTGATGAGTTTGAAGTAATTTAGACTAAGAAAGCCAGGAAGATACTGTACACAACTGCTCATCATCGATATATGACTCTGTGTAAAACAGTAAGAAAAGTAGGCTATATTCACTCACACACACACACACTGAATAAGTACCTGAGGAGATTTCCTCATGGTTCCTGAAGCAGCATCATAGTTCAGCATGTCTGTGGGGTCAATCCATTCATCCTCATGGGCATATCCAGACAGCAGCAGCAGACATTCGCAAAGGAGCAAACCACACAGCATCCTGTACAAGCCTGAACATTTTGAAATATGGGCATAACAAGAATATAATTATTTTTAAAAGAAATTGTTTTGAATTAAAAACTCAATTTATCTACTTCTTTCTAATGTTAAGTAACACTTTCCTTCCAAATAATAATTAAGGAGAGCACATAAAGTGAAAATACTCAATAAAGTGGCATTAACATACAGACACACACATTCCCACATGACCCAGTAGTTCTACTCCTAGGTATGTTGTTGTGGTTGCTAAGTGTCATCAAGTCAGTTCCAACTCATTTTGACCCTATGCAGAGTTTCTGAAGAATGGCTGGTGGATTTGAACTACTGACCTTGCAGTTAGCAATCCAGTGCTTATCCTACAGTGCTACACCAGGACTACTAGTTATATATCCAAGAAATGTATGAGGCTTCAAAAAGTTCAAGGAAAAACTCCTTCATTATCTTTTCATTCTATGAGCTTTTTGAAGCCCCCTTTTGTGTCAAAACATAGGTTTGTACGTGAATGTTTCTAACTATATTATTCATAACAGCTAAAAGGTGGAAGCAACTCAAATGTCCACCACCTGATGAATGGACAAACAAAATGTGGCATGTCCCTACAATGGGACGTTATTCAGCCATGAAAAAGAACGAAGCCCTGACACATGCTACAACACAGTGAGCTTTGAAAACACTACACTAAGTGGAAGAAGCCAGTCACAAGAAAGCACATGGTACAATGCCATTTGTACGGAATAGCCAGAACACACACATTTATCAAGATCAGAAAGTAGACTAGCAGTTGCTTAGGGTTGGGAGGAATGGGGGAGGTGAGCTCTAAGGGGGATGATAGCTTAAGAGACAGGCTGCATAGACAGGACCAAAGTCAGAGGCTTACAACTAACTTCATGTGCTCACTGTAGTTTTCAAGAATGATGGAAGCCTAGAAATATACTTCCAAATAAAAGCCACTAAAAAAGTGTCAGGGATACCAAGAAATTAGTCATGCCAAGTCTTTTGCAAGAAAATTGTATTCTAGAAGGAATAAGTTGGCTAAAATGTAACTTCAGATCGTTATAAATCCTAATAGAAAAAATAAAGCAGGACAATGGAACAAAGAGATTGGGGAATATTGGGCATCTTAGGGAAAGTCTCTGAGTTAAAAGTGGCCACAGTGGTCCATGTCCCATTGTGCATGGAGTTGCCATGAGCTGATGGCTGCTAACAACATGTTATGAAACCCAATGAACACTCTGGACACTGAAGGTCATGGAAGCTTCCTTGTTAATGATACATATTGATACACCAAAGGGTAATGCATCCCCTGGGACCAGGAATCTTCTAGTTGGGGACCCTCCCAGCTTCACACTATGCACCTCTCCTTTATGCTGATCCTGATTTGTATCCTTTATAATGAAACTGTAATTTTAAGTATTTTCAAAAAGAAAGAAAGAAGAGTAGTGATGGGAGCTTCATTTTAGAAATAGCAAACCACTAGTAGCCCTTCTTATGGAGAGTCCAGGAAGGAGGTGGAAGTAGAAACGGACATGGTAAGTGGTCTGGAAGGGGTTGCCATGAGAACAGAAAGAACAAACAGATTTTGAAGACTAACCCCACAGGGTTAAGCAAGTGACTGCATGTGGAAGGAAAAGAAGAGGAAAGTGGTAAACATGACTCCAAGATTTCAAGTCCTACTGACTATGAAAATGGTGATATCATTAATTTACAAGAAAAATGCAGAATGAGAATACGGTTTGGGGAAAAGTTTAGCATTCAATTGTTCAATATTTACTAAATAGCTACTATACTCCAAGGTTATATCCTTTCACCATACTTATTCAATCTCTATGCTGAGCAAATAATAAGCTGAATTATATGAAGTAGAATTCGGCATCAGGAATAGAGGAAAATTCTTTAACAACCTGTAATGAAGATGACACAATCTTGTTTGCTGAAAGGAAAGGAGACTTCAAATACTTACTGATGACGATCAAAGAATGCAGCCTTCAGTATGGATACCTCAATGTAAAGAAAACAAAAATCCTCACAACTGGACCAACAAATAACACCATAATAAATGGAGAAAAGATTGACGTTGTCAAAGACTTCGTTTTGTTTGGATCCACCATCAACACTCATGGAAGCATCAGTCAAGAAATCAAAGGATGTACTGCCTTAGGCAAATCTGCTTCAAAAGATCTCTTTTAAGTGTTAAATAGCAAAGATGTCAATTTAAGGACTAAGGTGGTCTTGACCCAAGCTATGGTATTTTCAATAGCCTCATATGCATGTGAAAGTTGGGAAAATAAGCAAAACCGAAAAAGACTTAATGCATTTGAATCATGGTGTTGCCAAAGAATATAGAAAATACATGAACTTGCAAAAGAGAAAGCAAATCTGTGTTGGAAGAAGTGCTTTAGAAGAAGGATGGAGATACTTCATCTCTAATACTTTAGACATGTTGTTAGGAGGGATTAATCCCTGTAGAAGGACATCATGCTTTGTAAAGTGGAGGGTCACGGAAAGAAGAGATAGCCCCCCAATGATATGGATGGACACAGTGACAGCAACAATGGGCTCCAACATAACAATTGTGAGGATGGGACAGGACCAGGCAGTGTTTCATACTATTGGACACTCGGTCACTATGAGTGGGAACCAACTGAATGGCACCTAATAATTAACAATAACAACAACCAAGTACTGTCTTAAGTGACAGGGATACCATACCAGGAAACTAGTAAGGCCAAGTCTTCTTCAAGAAGCTTATATTCTAGAAGAAACTAGTTGGCAAATAATGTAATTTTGTATAGTGAAAAACCCTACAGAGAAAACAAAGCAAAACAATGGGACAAATTAGGAGCTATTAGGTATTTTAGGAAAGGTCTCTGAATTAAAAGTGGCCACAAAGTCTTTGTCACTCTCCCGGGGAGATATGAAGTTGATGTCCTCTCCTCCTTACTCTAAGGCTGGCCCTGTAACTACTCAGTCAAAATCACATGGTGGAGGGCCAAGACAACTGAGGCGGCAGCAATGAGTGCTGGAAAGTGTGGGGCTTGGGAGTTTAATCCAGCGTCTACCCGGTTTTTCCTGGCACCAGGTCTTGTGGTAGGTTGCTACCGCCGCCTCCCACCACAGGAAGCACCAAGAGCAAGCAGCAACGGTCGCTGAGTGTCCTTCTGAATGGATGAAGAGGAGCGGGTCCGGTGCTACAGGGCATCCAGTTGTCTGATCATGTGGTTAATCACATGAAGGATTCCAGTGAGCCTTCAAAAGTGGAGCAGCCAACCCCTCTGCCTAGTACAACTTCATCTTCTGTATTTGGTTCTCCAGAAGGCAAAGGAAAAGGAAAAGCCCCTGAAAAAGAATCCAAACCACTAAGCTCAGAGAATAGTGAGAGGCAACAAGCCTTCAGGGGCGAAGGAAGACCTACTCAGGAGTATGAATAGGAGCAGGCCATAAACCAGGATGAGATCTCTCAGCTGGTCAAGAAGGAAAGAGAGGCAGCCACCAATCACCGGAATGTGAGCCTTCAGTGAGAGGGAAGCAGCAATGACCACGAGAAGCAGAAGTCAGCCCAGCTGGCCAGGGAGCTGGAAAGCACAGAGGCTGAGCTAAGACGCCGTGACACCTTCTATAAGGAGCAACTGGGGCGCACAGAAGGGAAGAATGCTGAGATGTAGAAACTGTCTTCACAGCAATTCCATAAGGCAGCTTCGAAAATGGAGAACGTAATAAAGCCCCAGAAGGCGGAGCCTGTGTGCTTAGGGCTGCAGGCCCAGCTCTTCCGACGCTACCAGAAGAACCTACAGGAGGTGCTCCTGTGCTCAGACCTGGTCAGAGCCTACCAGCACCGTGTCAGCGCCACCCACACAGGGTAAAGAGCAGCTGTCCTTCCTGTCCTGGCAATCACTGAGCCCTGAAGAAGGAACCAAGTACGGGACCACAGAGCCAAGGCCACAACCATCACAGCTTGCCACTGTCTGAAACAAATAAAGCCGATGTCTCCGTGAAAAAAAAAAAAAAAAAAAATCACATGGTGGAAATCGTGCTATACCTACAAAAGGATTGGTGGGTTCTACTTAATCCTTTTGGAATACTTGATCTTGGGACATCCCCTCTCCAACTGTCATAATGTGAGATGGACAAATTTTTAGCTGGCAGCCAGCATCAGTTGTCAGCTATGAGGGCTTGCCACCTTGGTAGTGCCAGCAAATCCAGTGGCTATCACATGACATAGGAGAACCACATAACTGAGCCCAGTCGTACCCCATAAATCCAGTCACAAGAGATGATAAAATGGTTGCTTACCGCTAGTAATCTGAGGGTGGTTAGTTACACAGCAGTAGATAACCAAATATTTTAGGAGAAAAATGTTAAGAAGCTAACCACATGGAGACAGTAGAATACTCACATAGAGAACACAGTGAGGGTAAAAGGCCTTGAGTGCAGAGGAAGCTTGAAGCATTCAAAGAACAGCAAGAAGGCCAGAAAGGCTGGAGACCCGTGAAGGAGCTGGTGATGTGGTACACCACAGTACAAAAGGACTGTGGTTTTTTACTTTTAATGTAATAGGAATCTACTAGAACTTATTAAGGAGGGAAGTAAAGATTCTGATTCACGTTCTCAAAGAAATGACTCTGGGTGCTACTTGGAGACAAAAATATAAGAACAAAAGAAGCAGACAGGTAGAGAAGATGGGCAGTAGTGCAGCTGACACTTGAGGTTGTCATGAACTAAGACAACAGCAAAAGGTGATGAGAAATGGTCAGAAATGTGTAGGTTTATAAGTAGATGAGGCTGGGTGATCTTGCAAAGATTTAAAGCTTTGGAAACCCTATAAAGGGTCACTATGAGTTGGAACCGTCCCAACAACACTTAACAATAACAACTACATGTGGCAAAGACCAGCTAATGGGTCACCAAGAACAAGCCACCCTCTCTTCTAGGTTAAGTACAGTCATATGATAATTAAGATGGGACCAAGGCAAAAGGAGTAGCAGGGATATGTCTGCCACATA